GATGCGGGAGGCGGTGCCTGCCACGATGATGTAAACAACCGCTCAAGTCCTCGGGCCTCGCCTCCCGCATCTGGTAGTCCAGGGGGCTTGGCCTGTGTTGGGGTCCCAACCCCAGCAGGTCCAGGGGCCCCCAAAGGTGTGGACGGAGTCGGCGAAGAAGGAAGGACCTGATGCCGCGTCCATTGATCAGCCATGGTTGGGTTTTCTCGCCTGGTTCTATCCAGGATCTCTAGCCAGGATCTGTCCAGGATCTCCAGCCAAGTTCTGTCTAGGATCTCCAGCCAGGTTCTATCCAGGTTCTCTCCCTAGGTTCTCCAGCCAGGTTCTGTCCAGGTTCTCTTGCCATGTTCTCTCGCTAGGTTCTCCAGCTAGGTTAGGTCGCCAGGTTCTCCAGCCAGGTTCTATCCAGGTTCTCTTGCCATGTTCTGTCTAGGTTCTCCAGCCATGTTCTGTAGCCAGGTTTGGGGGGTTACAGATAAAGTTTAGCAAGCTCTCTAATCTGCAAATGCAGAATCTGCCCAGTGCGGTCACCGGCCGTTCACATAAAGCCATTCTGTGATTCAAGGCAATCTAACATTTTCTGAAAAGTCATCCCGTGACGTCACTGGGAATGACAGGAAAATTGATATTCAGGTGCCGTTTCCTGAGTTAAGCTGCTAAGCATTCAGGAGCGCCCAGGTTACGGAGCCACCGCCCTGAAGAATGATGGAATGCGCTTGGACCCAAGTGTTGCCTCCGGGGCCCGAGGACATGCTGAGAGGGGGTTCCGGGGCTCCTCAGGGTGACCCCTGGACAGTCTGGCAGGATGCGGCTGCCCCCGAGTGGGAGTGAGAGGTGGGGCAGTGCGCACAGGCCAGGAGGAAGCCCGGAGCTGAGCCGGCGTGACCGCTGGGGGTGAGGGCCTGATGGCACCGTCCCCGGGGCCCTGGGCTGCGCACTTCAACCCCGTCCCCACCTTTGGTTTTAGGTAGACGACGCGCAGAGTCTGCTCAAGAATTTGGAGTCTAGAGCACAGACCCCGTCCGAAACCGGCTCCCCGCCCAGGAGGAGGAAGAGAGAGGCGCGGGCCTCAAAGGATGCGGAGGTTCTGGACGTAATTGGGGTGTGGGGTGTGTCTGCCCAGGTGCATGCTGGGGTCCTCCGTCCCCCCTGCCAGCACAGGTGTCCTCCAGACGAGCCTCTGACAGAGCTGAGGTCCCAGTGGGCTTCCTTTTGAGGCATCATTTACACACAGTAACAGGCAAGGTTTTCAGCTTAGTTTGATGAGTGACAGCTGTGTACACCCTTGTCACCGATACCCCGGTCAGAGACGCTGCACCCCCTGGAAAGCTCCCCGGGAAAGCTCCCCAGCCCTGCGCCCCTTTCCGGGCTACCCCCCACCCCCACCCCAGCCCCTTCCCGAGGCGACCACTGCAGCATTTCCAGCGCTGAGCTGGCCTCGCTGTTCCAGGCTTTTACACGTGCGTCTGGTGCCTGCGTTTCCTCCTGTCTCGCCTTCGAGATGCAGCCTCGTCCTTGCACCTGATAGTCATTCATCCTGTGATCGCAGGGCCCGTCGTGGGGATGTGCCCGGCGTGGCGCTGGCCATGGCCGCTATTCCGAATAAGGCCTCTGTGAATGTGTGTGTATAGGTTTGTTTGTTTTCATTTTGTTTTATTTCTTTTAAGTAAAAACTAAACATCTAGGAGGTGGAGTCCTGGGCCTTGGACGGAGATATTCAAAGATGGATTCTCCCTGGACCCCCTTCCTGGCCCCACACTCAGTCCAGCCCAAGCCTCCCAGGGAGCCTCCCTTCCTGGGTGGGATCCAGGATCCTGGAACCCAGGCCCAGCTCTGCCACCTGTTTGCTGTGTGAGGTGGAGCAAGAAACATACCCTCTCTGAGCCTCAGGTTTCTCAGCTTTATGATGACAGCGATTCGCCGGCTCCCGGGGTCCCCATGAGTCGCCTGGGATCATTCCGGCCGAAGCAGCGTGTGCAGGGAGCCGCGGCCTCCCCCCTCCCAGGAGGCACGCTCATGTTTTCTCCCTGCGGACTGTTTAGCTGTGCCCAGGCCACGCCCTTGTCAGGCTAATAATTGCCAGAGCTGAGTTAATGATCTGCCGGCTCCGGGGACTGGCTGGCCGGGTGCCCCTGCCCTCTGCAGATAGCGCCTCCGAGACTGGGCAGGGGACTGATTCTGTCAGGGTGCGTCCAGCTGTGACCCCTGTGTCCTCTAAGGCACAGAGAACTGAGGCACGGTGCCTCCTGTCCCTCCTGGTCCGAGCTCTGGAGAAATAGCTCACGTCAGCCCAAAGCAAACACAATCCCCCGGGCTCCGGGCGTGCGGCTCCCAGCCCCGGCTCGCTGCTCTGCGTCCTGGCCTGGCAGTGGGCGAGAGGGCCTCTCCGTCCCTTCAGTCCTGCTCTCAGTCATTTCTGAACAATGGCATTGCTTTGGCGGAAGAAGTTTTACATGGAAATTTGCGCTGCATCCAGTTTCCTGAATGACCGCATGGCTGCCGCTGGGAGGTTGTCAGAGCTGGGGGGAGCTCTGAACTGGGGAGCCCCGAAAGCTGCGGACGCCTGTGCCCTGCCCCAGGCCCTGCTGAGTGCCTCCGGGCCTCCATCCGCCCTGGGCCTGCCCTCGAGGGGATGCGCACCCCAGGGGACAGGAGGGAAGAGCCACAGCAGTCTCAGGTCTCCCGCTTGGCTGGGGTCACACCATCAGCTGGGACTGCGTTTTCCTCACAGGCCCGGGCGCCCCATCCTCAGGTCCTGCTTCCATAGGTGTCAGGTGGACCAGCCTCTGCATCCTTTTCTTCTCATAACTATGGGTTGTTTTTATTGATGTCAGAGAGGAAGGGAGAGGGAGAGAGAGAGAAACATCAATGAAGAGAGAGAATCATGGAACGGCTGCCTCCTCCATGCCCCCCACTGGGGATTGAGCCCGAAACCCAGGCATGTGTCCTAATCAGGAATCAAATCGAGATCCCCTGGTTCATAGGTCGATGCTCAACCACTGAGCCACGCCAGCCGGGCCATGCTTTTCACAGGAAGCGCAGTTTTTGTTTTGTGTCTCCCTGCTGAAGATGAACTCCCTGGAAGGCAGGGGCCAGGCCTTCCTCCCACTGTTCACCTCTTGTTCTGTCCTCTCACTCGATGTGAGGAGGTTAAAGTGGCCGCGCCCTCTCTGCTTTCGCGTGGAATTCTCAGCAAGGGTGTCTCCTCTTGTATGTTAGCCAGGCCTGTGATGTCACGTGGCCGCGTTCCGTCCGGCCTGCCCCTGTTTCGCAGACTCGGCTGTCTTGAACTTCTTAATCATTTCTGAATAAGACCCCCGTATTCATTTTGTACTGAGCCCCACAAATTATGTAACCAGTTCTGAAGACAGACTTTGCATCTTACTGCCATTCTTCGCTTTTGTCCTAAAAAAGCAGAGAGCGAGACTGGATGCTGGGGGCCGGGGGGCGGTCCTCCCCTGGGGTCAGAGGGCAGCCAAGAGGGTCAGCAGCTGGGCAGTGACGGGAACTGCATGTTTCAAAGGTCATCTGATTGCTCAGGAGGATGAAATGGAGGGTGTCGACCTCTCGACCTTGGTTTGCCCCTCTGGAGCCAGGGATCTGAGTTCAAATCCCAGTTCTGGCATGTATTAGCTGTGCAGCCCCGGGCACATGGCTTAACCTCTCTGTGCTCATCTCTCCTGTGTGAGAAATGGAGACGGAAACCGCTGTCGCCAGACCCTTGGGAGCTTAAGGAGGAGGCACATGTGGGAGGTTTCCCATTCTTGTCACCTAAGCCTATTTCTGCGAGTCGTAAGGGACGAATAGAAATGACGAGAACCGGGCCCCTGCCCCTCCCTGCCCTGCTCAGTGGGGCAGCATGGGGAACCCTCTCAGGAGACATGAGGGGCCTGGTGCTGGCTCCGGCAGGTGCTGTTCCAACCTTCCACGTTGTGAGGAAGCGGAAAAGCTGTATTTTTCGCTCATTGTCATGGAGCTCTTTCTTCAGGATTCAGCTGCAAAGCAGGGAAGTAGGAGTGGGTGCGGTTTCCCCCACCAGCCTCTTCGAACTGGCGGGTGGAGATGGCTCGAGGTCTGCGTGCCAGGCTCCTGACTTAGCTGCCTGCTCACCTTCGTCCACGAGCTGGTTGTTTCCACAACATTCATTCAGCACCGACTCTGCCACGTGCAGGGGGACGTGCTGGCAGGGGAGAGATGTGAGAGACGCGGGATGGAGAGCGGCTGGGAAGAGCCGTCCAGCTGCGGTCAGGAAGGCTTCCCGGGGCGGTTCCTGAGCAGGGCCTCGCTCGCGGGCTCCTCGCCACCCCTTCCAGCTGCGTGGTCTCGCTTCTGTCCTGAGCGGCCACTCGTTGGGTGCTCCACCTGCGCGGTCCTGGGGACAGGCACCCACCTGGGCTCTGTCCGGGAGGACCAAGGCTCAGAAGAGTGAGAAGACCGCCCACCTCTGCTTTTTGTGTGAGGGAGTGTCTAACCCCAAGTCTTGCGTGATTACTGCCGCGTGTAAGTGTTTATGCCGGCGGCACAGCAAAAATTATTCTGTCGGACTTTTCCACTAAAATTTGCAGTTTTAGGAACGCTCTTGTTCATTATTGTCATGGTATTTAAATCCTGATTTCTTCCAAAGGTGAAGACTTGGAATTAAATGCATGTGCTATTTAACATCTGTCAGTACATCCATCCCTCCCCCATCCAGCCATCCACCATCCACCCACTTGTCAATCCGTCTATTCATACCTATCCATCCATTCATCTGTCCATGTACCCACCCACCTATTTGTCTGTCCGTCTGTCTATCCATCATCCATCCATCCATCCATTCATTTACCTGCCCATCTATCTTTCCAGCTGTCTGTACATTCCTTTACCCATTTGCCCATTAATTCACTCATTCATCCATCTGTCCACCCACTTATTCACCTGCTCATCCATGTACCCATCTATCTGTACATTCATCTGTATACTCATCTATCCATGTATTTATCCATCCATCCACTCACCTGCCCATCCATCTGTCCATCCACCATCCATCCATCCATCCACTCACCTGCCCATCCATCGGTCCATCCACCATCCGTCCATCCATCCATTCACCTACCCATCCATCTATCCATCGACCATCCATCCATCTATCCATCCACCATCCATCCATCCATCCATCCACTCACCTACCCATCCATCTATCCATCCACCATCCATCCATCCATCCATCCACTCACCTGCCCATCCATCTGTCCATCCACCATCCATCCATCCATCCACTCACCTACCCATCCATCTATCCATCCACCATCCATCCATCTATCCATCCACCATCCATCCATCCACTCACCTGCCCATCCATCTGTCCATCCACCATCCATCCATCCATCCATCCACTCACCTGCCCATCCATCTGTCCATCCACCATCCATCCATCCATCCACTCACCTGCCCATCCACTTATCCATCTGTGTGTTCATCTGTCCATCCATCCATCTACCTGTTGTCTGTCCGTTCGTCCATCCACCTGTTCCCCCATCCATCATCCATCCTCTGCCGAGGGCGTGCTTACTTTGGCCTGTGTGAGCCGGTGGTCCCTTTCCCAGGCCGCTGTCACAGCGCAGTGTGGCACTTTGGAAACCCTTGGCGGTTTATCCTTTGTCTCGCGGAAGCTCCCCATGCCGTTTGTTCTTCTTCCCAGGAACGCGAGCCGTCCTTCAACAGCAACGTCACAGCATTCGCGCTGAAGGCGAAAGTCGTCTATCCCATCAACCAGAAGTTCCGGGTGAGAGGCCCGAGCTCCGTCTCGGGAACCAGTCCCTCAGTGGTGCCCTGGAGGTCGGGGTGCAGTCGTGGGGTTCGATGTGCAGCTCAGGTTCTACTTGCGGGTTTATGGCAGCCAGTGTAATAGGGATGAGCGTGAGGCTTTGTCACCGAGCAGCACTTAGGGGTTTGGTGGCAGTGTGGTCAGGGCCAGGGTGTGCCTGGGTGTATAAGGTAAGGAAATACCATGGTGTGTTGTACCCCAGGGACACCAGGGACAGCACAGTAGGACGGTGCCTCCCCCCCACCCCGCTCGCGCAGCACTAATACAAATACCGATACTGACACAGCTTCCAGCATCTCGTTCCCAGACCCTGAGGCTCACGCCAGCAGCCGACACTCCTGAACACTTGCGGTGGGGCCGGCCTTGTGCTAAGTGTTTGTCGTGCATCCGGCATTCCAGCCTTACAGGCGCCTATGAGATAAATAATACTGTCGTCTCCACCTTACACAGAGGAAACTGAGGCCCAGAGGGGCTAACCACCTCCCGAGGTCGCTGCAGAAAGAGGCGGGCCAGTCACCGCCCTCACCTGGCTACAGGCCTCACACTGAAGGCAGGCGTTCATACCGCAGCCCGGAGCTTCACAGAGAGCGGGCTATCCCCTGGCGCCTCAGGAGCCTCCAGCCGGCGAGATGCTCTGTGGGAAAAAGAGTTTCCTGGTCAAGAAAGTTGAGGAAAATGCTGGCGGGAAAGAGGACAGGACCCCGACTCAGTCCGAAGTCCCCCCGGCCCACCCCCTCGCTGTGTACTGCAGGCCATTTCCTGACTTCTGGGGCCTCAGTTTTTTATCTGTGAAATGGGAGCAATGGGCCCTCCTGCCTCACCCAGTGGTTTGGGTTAAATCGGACAGTAGACGTCAGGGCTGAGGCCCGTGTGTGACAGCTAAGCATGCACCCGTTCTGTTCCTAAACCAGCACTTGCCTGGGAACAGCCAGAGCATATCGAAGGCTCTGAGAATTCCCACACCGAGGAAACTAGTCCACCCTGGTTCGCGCAGACTTTCCCAAATTAGATTCTCCGGGGAACCCTTACGGTGAACAGAAACGGGTGGCAGTTCATGGACCTGTTCCCCGGAACACACACTGGGAACCACCTCCTTCCTTAGCTCTGTGTGTGTGGGGGGGGGGCACTCCCAGAGCAGGGGCATTTCTTCAGCACCACACCCACGCTGGGCCGCCTCCCCAGTGGCCACTGGGCATGGCTGGGGTCAGGGGAGCATGGTCCTCACCCTGGAGGCTGCCCCGTCTGGGAGGGACACGGTGTGGTGTCAGGCTGCACAGAGAGGACAGGGGCCTGTAGGAGCTGGTGTGGGCTGGGCCTCGGAGAAGGTAGGCTCTGGGCTCTGTGTCTGGGGTACGGCTGCTTCCACCCAGCAAAGAGCTGGGAGAGGGTTTCAGCCTGGGGGGCAGAGCCCTGCTCAGGCTGCGCCCTCTTGAGGTCATGGCAGGAACTGCATTTCTTTGAGCCAACCCCAGGGCAATGGCATGCTGCCTGGAAGGTCTGGGGAGGGGAGGTGGCGCCCACGTCAGTGTAGGTGAAGAAGAGCTAGGTGGTCAGCGGGTTAGTGGACAGAGCTGGCCCCGGGTCTGAGACAGCAGCAAGACAGGTGGGCCAGGGCCGGGGGGCTGCTGTGGAGACGGGCAGGTGGCAGCCGAGTGCCAGGTGCAGGGGTCATCGGAGCAGAGGCAGGCTCCTAGCTAAGGGGTGGGAGCCTGGTGCAGAGCCTTGGCCTCTTGGGGGCAAGAGAGCTGTGACACGGGTCCACTCCTGCCCCTGCCCAGCCTTGCCCGCCTGGCTGTCCCGGGAGCCACTGTCCTGTGTTGCGGGTGGAATTACCGCGTCAGACTCCTGATGGTCACGTGCACTGAGTCCCATGTCTCTTCTGCTGCCCCAGCCTCTGGCCGACGGCTCCTCCAACCCGTCTCTGCACGAAAACTTAAAGCAGGTGGTTCTGCCCAACCAGCCGGTGGAGGCGTCGCCGTGCAGCAGCCTGGGCAGCCTGAGCCAGGCCGAGAAGGACGAGTGCAGCTCCTCGTCCAGCATCCACTCGGCCGCCAGCGACGACAGGTTCCTCCGCCGCACCTTCCTCCGCGTCCACAGCTTCCCCGAGGCCCTGACCTGCGAGAGGTGAGGAGGGCGGAGGGGGACGCGGGCCCATGAGGCATGTGGTTGTCAGAGGAGGAAACGGAGAACGGAGGCCCAGAGAGGTTAAGCAACTCAGCCAGGGACACACAGCCGCCCCGTGTCAGAGTGGGACCCTGTCTCCCTCTGTCACTTGCCATGTGGTATCGACTCGCATAGGAGTTACGGAGTCAGGCTCCAGCCGCGGAGAGACTTCAGGGGACCCTGATGCGTCACCAGCATGCCCTGTGCATGGCATCGCAGCCAGCACTGAGTAGGCGCCTTCCAGTGTGCCCTGTGCACGGCATCGCAGCCAGCACTGAGTAGGCGCCTTCCAGCGTGCTTGTGCACGGCATCGCAGCCAGCACTGAGTAGGCGCCTTCCAGAATGCCTGTGTATGGCATCGCAGCCAGCACTGAGTGGGCACCTTCCAGAATGCCTGTGCACGGCATCGCAGCCAGCACTGAGTAGGCGCCTTCCAGCGTGCTTGTGCACGGCATCGCAGCCAGCACTGAGTAGGCGCCTTCCAGAATGCCTGTGTATGGCATAGCAGCCAGCACTGAGTAGGCGCCTTCCAGAGTGCCTGTGCACGGCATAGCAGCCAGCACTGAGTAGGCGCCTTCCAGAATGCCTGTGCACGGCATCGCAGCCAGCACTGAGTGGGCACCTTCCAGAGTGCCTGTGCACGGCATAGCAGCCAGCACTGAGTAGGTGCCTTTTAGCGTGCCTGTGCATGGCATAGCAGCCAGCACTGAGTAGGCACCTTCCAGAGTGCCTGTGCACGGCATAGCAGCCAGCACTGAGTAGGCACCTTCCAGAGTGCCTGTGCATGGCATCGCAGCCAGCACCGAGTAGGCGCCTTCCAGAATGCCTGTGTATGGCATAGCAGCCAGCACTGAGTAGGCGCCTTCCAGAGTGCCTGTGCACGGCATCGCAGCCAGCACTGAGTGGGCACCTTCCAGAATGCCTGTGCATGGCATCGCAGCCAGCACTGAGTAGGCGCCTTTTAGTGTGCCTGTGCATGGCTTAGCAGCCAGCACTGAGTAGGCGCCTTCCGGGTGCTGGGCAGAGTGCTGGGCAGTTTGCTGGGGTTAGTTATTGCATGAGCACAAGGATCAGTCTGTCCCGTCCCCTGCCCTGTCTCTTCCGCCAGTGGGAGCCTGGGACCAGTTCAGTGATGGTAACTATTAGTCAACGAACTAATTCCTCCTGCCAACCTTATCAGGTGGGGGCAGCTTTGCCCCATTTTATGAAGGAAATGTGCCCCGACCAGGAATCGAACCATGACCTCCCTGTTCATAGGTAGATGCTCAACCTCTGAGCCACACCTGCCGATCAATGATTCTCTCTCATCATTGATGTTTCTACCTCTCTCTCCCTCTCCCTTCCTCTCTGAAATCAATAAAAATATGTATTTAAGAAAGTAATAAAAAAAATAAAGTGAGTCTCAGAGAGGCTCAGTGACCTGCCCCAGGTCACACAGCGGATGGTGATGGAACCAGGTTTGACCCCACCACCTTATCTCCAAAGCCCACGCTCAGAATCTTCAAACTATCCAGCCTGGAGGAGGGCTCAGCTTGTGGTCAGTGGCCAGAAACTCAGATCTGGGGCGGGGTGGGTGGGGGGGTGTGGGCCGGTCCCCAGGCCTGTCTGCCTGACGTTCGGTGAGCTCGAGGGGCCCTGGACGCGGCCCGGGCTGTGGCATGAGTGGGCTCAGAACCGGAGCTTGGTGAGGACCCCGCAGGTGGCCCACGCGGGAGGGACGTGGCTGGACGGGAGCCCCTTTCCTCGCGGGGAGAGCTGTGTCTGAGCCTTGGACTTAGAGGATGTCTAACGGTTCGGGGTTAGTCATTCAAAAAGCCTTTGCCTGTGTCGGAGAGAAGGTAGAGCCTTTCCCTGCACCCTGCCGCTGACCGACCCTGTGACCGCCACCAACACTGATTTCTCCGGCCCTCGATGTCCTGTGTCAGCGTCGTCTGCACAGTGGGCACGGGATGTCCACGCTGAGCCCTCAGAAAGGCGGCCTGTGATACAGGATGCACGTGCCAGTGTCATTTCTCCCACCTGCCGTCTCCGGCTTCATCCTCTATGTCCAGGCCAAGTCCCCTCCGGTCACGAGTGGGTCGCAAAGAGCTCCTGACACTCCGTCTCGTAGACCGTGTGGCTGTTGGGAATCTCCGCGCACGCACACGCTGCGGATGTAAAATCTGGGGGCAGGACCCGCGAGGCTGGTACTGAGCAGGGACGCCCTATCTGTCACCCCCCTCCCCACCTCAGACACTTAAGGTCTCTCTTCCTCTTGCGCCTTTGCAGCGCCGACCTTGACCTTTGCATCTATCACCTCCACTTAAAGGATCTGCTCCAGCTGGACGCGGCGCTGAGGCAGGACGAGCACTCGGTAGGTGGCGAGGGGCTCGGCACCCCTCAGGGCTCCGGCACCGTGTTCGGGCTCTGTGCGCCGGGACCCCCGGGAGGTGGGTGTGGGGAATGGTGGAGCCAGCACCTCCGGAGGGAGAGCGATCTTAGGAAGAGACACCAAGATGGGAAGGCAGCTCCTGCCTGTGGGTGGGCGCCGGCTTCACTTCACCCAGAGAGGGAGGGAGAAAGAGAAAAAGAGAGACCGAGAGAGAAAAGGAAACAGAGAGAGAGAGAGAGAGAGAGAGAGAGAGAGAGAGAGGCGCAGACGGAGAGAGAGAGAGAGACAGAGAGAAAGAGACAGAGACACAGAGGGAGAGACAGAGATAGAGAGAGGGACAGAGAGAGAAACAGAGAGAAAAACAGGAGGAGGGGGGGAGGAGAGGAGGGAGGGAGATTCTGTTGTTTAAACCTTTATTTCTGTTACGTTCCCTTCTTTGGCAATAGATGTTTATTCAGATTTTTAAAATGTGCCTCCTTGACCTCCTTCCGAGAAAGAAGCCTGATGACGAATTCTACCAGAAGATTCTTTCAAAACAGGAAAATGTAAGTCTTCAATCTGTATTTCCAGGTAATTGGAAAATAGCTTATTACAATACTAGAGGCCCGGTGCACGGATTCGTGCTCCGATGGGGTCCCTTGGCCTGGCCTGCAGGGATCAGGCTGAAACCAGCTCTCTGACATCCCCTGAGGGGACCCAGATTGCGAGAGGGCGGTTCTCGGGTGACACACCCCGGAATCAGGGCTCCCTCTTCTCTGGTTCCTGGTGCGTCACCCAAGAACCACTGC